TCCTTGAAGAAACTATGAACCAATCTGATATTTGGCCAAACCGTTCGTGAAAACCAACTAAGAGGAGGGAGGAAGGAGAGAAGAAAGAGGTAGCTAGATTGGAGCCCAGGTAGATGAGGAAAGGGGAGGTAGAGGGGGAAGGCAGGGTCTAGGAGGTGAGGGACACTAACAGAAGTACCTCAAGTGCCGTGTTACATTAATTTTGGTGATTCTCTAGTTGATAATGGCAATAACAATAACCTCCTAACAACAGCCAAGGCAAATTACCCACCTTATGGGGTTGATTTTCCTGATGGCGCAACTGGAAGATACACCAATTAATGGTCGGAATATTTTCCTCCATTAATGTTTTCCTTCTTTTTTTGTTTTCTCCATCAATGTTTTATAAATTCACGTCTTCCCAAATCTTTAATTGTCTGGTCCACTCGGTTCAAGTAAGATAAGTTTGGGGGAAAATGTTTACAGCGTATCTGCCTAAATATAACTTGTGGAAGTGATAACGCTACTATTAGCCACTGTACAGCCACCCCTAGACACCAATTTGCAATCAGATGTTCGTGTCAAAAAATTGGATGCATGCTATTCTAGTTTCTTGAAGGTTAATTCCTTTTTTGTGAGTATCAAAGTCAAATTACGGGTATTCTAGGTTACTTAACAAATGCATTTAAGAAAAAACTAATACAGTATTCTTCATATGGTCAAACCGGACTCATGGTAGTAGGTACAATTGAGATTTCCGTATTTCTATTGAGTTTGATGATTTGATGGTTTAGTAATTTAGATTTTTTCCTGCAATGCCCTCATTATAAATTTGAATCGCTCTATTATATTCCGAACATGAGTGCACTCTTTAAATTATTATTGGGGGGTGGTTTTTTTTTTAGGTAGTTTGGACCTTGAGGTCTTGTTTTAGAAACACAATTTCTTATGGAAAAAAAGTTCTAGGATCTCTTTCATAAATAAAATTTAGTTGAAATAAATTTCCTTGCATCATATAAGTGTCTGACTTTTATCCCCATCAGTATACACAGGTGCAGCTATATCCATCATGTACTCAACAGCGCAAAAACAAAAGAGAAGATGTATATTTTTGCCTGAAGAGAAAGGAAGATTGAACAATATAACGGGCTGAGGCTGATCCACGTAGAGCACCATTAATAGACCGTTGGCATAGGTGGCATCAAGGGCTTTGGTAATTGCCACGGAGAACTGTACCGTACAGTACAGACAATAGCATAATAAATGTAAATACCAACACAATAACATCTAAAATTACAATAAATTTTTTGGTACATTTTGTTATGTTGCATTTTGTTATGTTGTTAATTTTTTTTCTTTTTAATATTTATTGATGTAGCGTGTACACTTATTATGTTACAGCCTATTCTGCATGGTACAGCTTTCATCAGTAATTATACAAACCCTTGATCTATTAATTAGATCAAGCCTAACAAATTACAAAAGTTTTTAAATGATTATTTAGCTGTTAGTTATCTTGATGAGAATGGACAAATTAACGAAAATTGATTTTCGTGCCTCAATCAATTTCTCAGGGTCGTGCTGAAGTCAGCTTTGAGGAGCAGCTATGGGATCATGGTGAAACAATTATTATAAGCCTTGGATTGTTAATTGGAAATCAGACAGCAACAGAGTATCTAGAAAAATGCTTGCATACTGTTCGCATTGGTCGCAACGATTTCCTCAACGGCTACTTCCCTGCCACTGAGCCAATAAGTAGGATCTATGAGGAAGATGAATCTGCGGATCGCTCGATTCACCGATTATCTCGAGGTTGGTACTAGAACTGCAGTTGTTCTGTCCTCCCTCAATTCTTTTCTTTAGCAAAAATATGTTGTTAATAATACTAATTTACACAGTTACCAAGCGTTGCAACCCTCAAGATAAAATGGCTGCTGGCTGCACGATTTATTATTCACCTCTTGGTTTGCCTTTTGTGAAGGGCTGAAACTGTCCCTTCTGTCATGAGCTTAAACGGCTTTTTTTGGATGATTCATACACATCGACTTGCGTAGGATCTTAATTAATAATAAAATGATTGAGGAGCCAAAACGTGTAAAGATAATAGTTTGAGGGCCGATTAGATGATTTAACCTTTTAGAGGTCAGTTCAATGGGTAAAAACTATAAGATGCGAATTGTCGGTTTGTTTTGGCACAGACTGTAGTGGAATTAAAAAGAAAAAACATAAACAACTTAAAAGTCAAAAATTTTGTATCCCATAACTTCCTTGGAAATAAATAGAGCCCATAATAATAAATAATGGCCATTCCTTGACTTTGCACTGCATTGAAAAAAGAAAAAAAATTATAGCCCACCTACATTCCTTGAATTCCTGAGAATGTTATAAATCGAAACCATAACCTGCATTCCCTCCATCCTCCTATAAGTTAATTCTTTCCTTGTTTGGGAGGAAAGAACTTGAGAAACGTCTATCAGCACTTACGTATTTTCTTACCTTTTTGGGGTTCCATGTCTTTTATGGCTAATACATGGCTTGTAGCGTCCATAATATTGGTCATTTTCTACCTACAGCCAATATTAGCTGCACAAGAAGCGCCATGTTACATTAGCTTTGGTGACTTTCTAGTTGACAACGGCAATAACAATAACCTAAATGCAATGTCGAAGGCCAATTGATTTCCGTATGGAATTGACAGTATGAATGAAGTTGAAATTGAGGAGGGATCACTTAAAACTAACCTAAGTGTATACACCTATCCTTCTCACTGTACATACGAGTGTATGTCCATAGTCATAGACTAATAATGAGTTGAAGGAGGGACCATTTAAAATTTTAGTTAAATTTAATTTTAGACCCTTAAATTGTAGATGTATTCTTACTTTAGCTCTCATTAAATCTTAATTTTGGACATTTTAACTCATACAGAATGAAATCCATCCACTTTGATTTTAAGCTTCAATTTTGGACAATTTGCACCCTCTAAACTACGCAATCTATTCACTTTATATCTTAAACTTTGAATATCACTTGTATGAAATCTATTCACTTTATACCTTAATTTTTGACAATTTTAAAGATTAATTTCACATTTGAAGGGATAAAGTATCTAGAATTAAAGTGGGATAAAATTCATGCCTTAGATTGTAAAGTATCTAAGATTAATGCTTAAGTACTAGTAAAATGGAAATGCGTCTGCAAATTAAGGGTCCAAAGTACAATTTCAACCCTTAAACTTTTCTTGATCACTTTTAGTGTGGGAGCAAATATTGCAAGAGAGGAAATTCTTAGCCTAATATTAAGGCTTTGATCTTAATATTTGGGCTCTCATCTTTCTCACGTTAGTCAACACACAGTATGATTCTATGTGATGACTACTTTCCATGTAGTATGTGACTATGTGCAGGTATTCGCCAATTGTATGATACAGCAGTTGAGATGATAATTGCACATAGAATAGTGATTGGACAGCAAGCAGGGCTGAACTTTTTATTCATACCTTCTTTTCTGAAACAAGCGTTGTTAACAATGTAATATTGTTGGAGTTGAAAAACTAATTATTTAAAAAACAGGTGGTCATAAAAATATGATAAAGCCACAAACAAATCAACAACACTGCCGAATATCTTGTTGAGTCTTATAAGTTATTCCAACAATTTTATATTCTATAAAACTTAAAAATCGTAGCAAAGTATATTGGATCACTTGAGACCATCTTTAAGATGTTAACAATCAGGAATTTTGTCAACTTTGAACTTTTGATCGATTGAGTGCCTTGACACACTTCCTTTTTTGTTCGCTCAGGAACTCTAAATTAATGGACTCGAGAATTATACTAAAAACAAAATCATTTGACTATCAAAATCATAATCATAAAACGCCTTTAGTTTTCATGTGAGCTGCCTAAGTTGTCCGGGTGTCACACATAGTGGACAAAAGCAATAATTGTATGAACTATGGAGAAGTCAGAAGCCCATTATTTATTCCTTGGTAGTTATGCCCGTGTGTCCCGCATACTTTTTGTAGATGGGCTAGATGGCACATAAACGAAAATCATACTAAAGAAAGCTTGTTCATTCTTGATGGTTATTTAATTAATGGGATGCGAGGAGCATATTTTGGATCGGAATCGATGGAATGCTTCTTGATCCTTTCTATTAATTTAAGCCTTACTACAACCACAAGTTGGACTTGAAAAAAAAAATATATATCCATTACTAATTCGTTGTACAATTTCTTCCTCCTAACCATCCACTGACATTTAGCCAACCAATCTTACATTGACTTCCCGGTAAGCATGTCAAGTTGTACGCTCTCTTTTGAGCTCTACTATAATGCCGTGACAAAAGTTCAGTTGCCACCTGCCATGCCATCAGAGATTACCAATGTTGTCACCTGCCTGTAGTGCCAAAAAAATTCCGTGTTCCTTGCGTGTTTTTGGGATGATATCGTTATTATTATTATTTTTTAATGAAATCAGATAGACTCTAAACGTTATAAAATGGAAGGGGAAAATGGGAAGTTTCAAAAGTTGAGTTAAAAACATCAAAATTTACTTCGTTAGTTTTCTGTCAACTAAGTTGGATCTTGAACTAACTCTATATTATTAGCATTTTTTTTTACGTCAATCGTCTTACAAATATTGATACTATCATGTTGTGTCAATGGCCTAGATGTTGATGTTAATATGCTTAGAATTCAAATTAAGCTTTTTTTTTTATAAACTATTTTTATATACGGGAAGGGATAGACTGAGTGGTTCAAGAAGAAGAAGTGTAAGTTAGAGGTATAAATTCAAAAGTTTTCATTGGTACGCCAAAACTCGAGGGTGAGGCAATTTCAATTACACAAATAGATCCAAATCTAGCTTTAGAATAACCATTTGTACCCTTACTTTCATTCTATTTCTTTATACACATGTATGCGTGGGTGTGTGCGTATACATACGTCTATATATTTGCTTCTTTGGCCAGATAACGAAACTAAACAAACCTCTCCTTTCCGCCGTCACTGGGGCAATTATGGCTGTTAAGTTTTGTATATGGTTTATACTGCCAATAGCATTGGTCTTTTGCAATATTGAGCCAATTTGGGGTGCACCTCAAGTGCCATGTTACTTTAGCTTTGGAGACTCATTAGTTGATAACGGCAATAACAACAACCTATCAACTTTGGCAAAAGTGAATTATCCACCTTATGGGATCGATTTTCCCGATGGTCCCACAGGCAGATTCACCAATGGCCGGACCATTCTTGACATCCTAGGTACATATCTCCCAACCCTACATCTTGGAAATTTAATAAAATTTGGCGTTGTTTTTGTGGAAGGGAATAGCATAAAAAAACTTGGAGATCGTTTCAATAAGGGTTATCTTGCTTAGCTATTCACACATCATTTGATTAGTTCAACTTTCTTCTAATATTCTTTGTCTATTTAATTTCTCTGGTTCCACCTTTCTTTTTTCCTCCTTTTTTTCAACAATCGATTGCAACCCTGCTTTGGAAAAGCTGAAAATGATATTGTTTGAACATTAATTACCAAGTCCTCTTGCCAAGACATTAGCTTTTATCTTTCATTTTCACTCCAACTTATTAGACATTACTGACCCACGATGGGAACAAATTTATCTTTCAGGTCAGCTCGTAGGATTTGAGAACTATATTCCTCCATTTGCAACAGCAACAAGTCAGGACATCATAAAAGGTGTCAATTACGGTTCAGGGGCAGCTGGAATTCGCGATGAGACTAGCAGACAAATGGTGAGTACTTTCTTGATAGCAGTCTTTGCTATATGGGATTAAAGGTCATACATACATGCATGTAACTTGCCAGGAGTTTGGGTCAAGTGAGGCTGTATTTTTCTGTTAATTTGCTGTATTTGTTACATTATTTGGTGCACAATAATACAATGTCATTATAATAGTGAAAAATAGATAGTTTATTAAGTACAACAACCATACAAAATCATATAGAACTCAACGGTATCTACTATTCCAAATCCTTGTAAAAGTAAACAAGCGAAGGATAAACTATTATCTATGTCATTGACTCGCGGTTTGCAGTTTCTTGTTTTTAATCTTTCGATTTCATAACGTATGCTATTACATTTTATCTCGGGGGATCGATTCTGCTAGAGTTTATTAGTTTATTTATTCCTAAATCACAAGGAAATTAGACATTCCATTTCATTTAATTGAAAATTAGATTTTTGGGCGTAAATTGGTTGCAAAATAGTTAGCACGAAATGAGTACACTGCGAAAACATCTGTCACAGAATAAACCTGCTTAGCATAGTCAATATAAGAAGACAAATTACCCTTGGTTTGGTGAGCATGCATTCAAAAGGAAACCAAGAGTTCAAGCATGGAATCATACTAGTTGCAGTTTCGGAAATGGAAATTTTAATGGCGCTCCGATTATCTTTTTTTTTTTTTTTTGCACAAACTGCCAAAAGCACTCTTACCCACAAGTACAGCAGAGATGACTTTTCTTTTGCACTATTTGAAAATTTAAATCTTTGTAAAATTCTAAATGGTTGATATTAGGTGGAGAAAGTGACAAAATATTTTTTTTTTCAAGTTCTATAATCCTCATATCTTTGAAGTTCTTTTTTATATTTCAACAGTACCAATTAGAATTCCCAACTTTTCAAAATTCTTTGCCTGCATTATAGAAGTATTTTGTTGCAATTTCAGAACTTAACAAAGAAAGCTTTTCATTCTTGAAAAACAACTTTCATTATATTAGTTCCCTGCGTTGTTATCTAGTAATATCATTGTATAATGTCTCTTGATGAACAATTCAACAAATTTAAGTAGTAAACAGCCAATGGTTAAACTAGTCCTACAAGCAAGTTTGGTAATAAGAGTTAAAATTTGTTGTGTTACTCGATAGCAATCCATAAGGGACTTACCTAAATGAATATAGATTTGATAAGAGGGATTTTAGAAACTAGGTACGTTACCCAATGCCCCCTAATTAGTTCTTTGTTTTGTTGCTGGTATAGCTTGTAAATTGAGTATTAATCTCTATGTATCACATCTCGAGGAATTAAATGAGCCCTATTTGCCTACAAAATACGTATATCATCTACATATAGTCATGTAAAACATAGCCCCTTTTTTTGGGCAAGATCTTTCTTCCTATTTACTTAATCACAAACTAATTTTCTACAATTTTCCTTAGGGTGATCGCATCAGCTTCAACAAACAATTGCTAAATCATCAAAAAGTAGTTTCAAAAATTGCTTCTTTACTTGGAAGCCAGGCTGCAGCAAACGAGTATCTTGGGAGATGTCTGTACACTGTTGTCATTGGGAGCAATGATTACATCAACAACTACTTAATGCCACAGATCTATCCTACGAGCAAATTATATACACCAGCTCAATACGCAGAAGTCTTGGTTCAACAATATTCTCAACAACTAATGGTTTGTGTTACCATTGGCGTTTCCATTTCCATCCTTCATTTTTCTCAGTGTGGTTAGCAATCGAATTTTTTCCTTCGAAGATCTACTAAATCTAAAAAGAAAACTGTATAGAACTAGTTAAGTTTATAGAAAATTATGATATAACCCCAATATATCAATTAAACAATCACAATGGCTTATAAAAGAATAAGGAATTATCTGATGACACTTTCAAACGTATTTAAATGAATATAATGACATAAGAGACATAGGAAGGTGCAATCATTGTAGTAACGAGTATTGGGTTTGCGTTTTATTCCACTAAATGTGTGAGATAAAATCCAAGTTCAACAAATAAAACGGTTGGTGGAATAAAATTCAAATTTAATAATAAGTTACCGCTAAATTAAATTTGGATTGGTTCTAGATAACTCTTACAGGACGTTCTAACACAACATTACAAGGATGAAAATTCCCCTAATATCTGAGATTATAAATGCTGAATTATGAAGCCATCAAAGGTTGCCATGAGGTATCAATATCAAAAAATTCAAAATGACGTACATTTTAAGTTTGTGCCACTAAAGGCAACAACTTTAGATACACCCTGTATAAAACCTCACTACTTTCTTTATGGTAAACTGAGTTATTAGTACAATCACTCTTATTTCTTTCGTGATTGTGTCATCTGATAATTCTACTATGCCAACCATAGTTTGGCCTTATCAAGCACGGATTTCCTTGATTATAATAATAAATATTATTTTTTGGTGAGTGAGATTAATTGTTGTTTGTTTCGTGCTAGACTTTGTATAACAATGGAGCAAGAAAAATAGCCCTATTTGGACTGGGTCCAATTGGTTGTACACCAGCTGAGATAAGCACATACCGGACTACTACATGTGTGGATTCAGTTAATGCTGCAGTTCAACTATTCAATGATAAGCTCAAATTTCTTGTGGATGACTTCAACAGACAACTCACAGATGCAAAGTTCATCTACATAAATATCACTAGCATTCAATCGGGAGATCCTGCAACCATTGGTAGGTTTTAACAAAACTTAGGCATGTGCAGTTTTTTGCTTGGTGTTTGAATATCAGCATTTTCCCAATGACATATTAAACAAAAGAAATTGAAAAAGGAATGGGGAAGATAAGTTTGGGAAAATTTTATGCTGATCCTTATTTTCATGATGATACATCTAAAGCTTGTCTACCTAGTTTCATGTGAATGAATGTTTTGCATTCTGGGGTCAATCAATCAAATATTATGTGAAAAGTTTGTAAATGACAACTGATATGATCTTTTGAGCTAGAATTACAAAGAACAGCAGTCCATCTATGTTTTAATAAATATAGTAATTACTTAACTCTACACTATTGTTCAGCATGAACAAGTTACTGAAATCTTCTATTATTTGTTAACATTTTATGACTTTGAATGCGGCATATTAACTCGTATATAATAAGTAAACAAATTCTTTCTCTAAGCATGTACAAAATATTCTAAGAAATGTTATACTAAGAAATACACATATGATATCACCTCAAGTATAAATAAATTTCTTTCAAAAATCAATTTTGGTCCTTTTTGCATGCAAAGAAGAAGAAGAGGAAGAAGAAACTAGGCATCTTACCATACAAAACTTAACCAATTGTAACTTTACACTGATTATGTTTCTCTTAGGGTTGCAAATTCTCAACCAACCATGCTGCAAAGTTTCAGAAACTGGTCTATGCAAACCTGGAGTAAGGCCATGCACCTTTAGAGCCATATACCTATTCTGGGATAGTTTCCATCCTACAGAGACTGTCAATGTGTTAACGGCAACAAGAGCATATAATGCTCTATTACCTACTGATGCCTATCCAATGGACATTCGTCACCTTGTTCAACAATGACGAAATGTATAAACTCTAATGTAATAAAATTCATAGCAAATGCAATCACCTACATGATGGTATGGAATTCCGATCATAAAGTTGTCCTAATATACAACACCATGACGTTAATGCTGTAGAGTTCAGATACATATATTTGGAAAATTCACTATTAGTCTTCAAAGCTGGGGGTTGGACCAAATTAGTCCTTAATATTTCAGCTAAAAACATATAGTCTCCAAAGTATTCAATTTTGACCAAATCGATTGTTAATCTTTTCGATCAAAACAAATGCAGTCCTTGTAGTATGTTAATTTGACGAAATTGATCCCTAACAAGAGTGCTGAACCTATGGGTGTTAGTCCAAGAACAAGTTTTCAAAGTTTAAGTTGAATGATGTTTACTGCTAAATGTAAGCACACTTTTGAAAAATTGGAGAAAAAATGTTTATTTTACATAGACTATCATTGACTTTAACTCTATTGTTATTATATTCCATATGCTGGCAGAGATTGGCCAACCTACTATATCCCATGTGCTATTGGAGATTGACCCTTATAATCTTATGGTCCTGACCTCGTCACTGAATTTGATGATCATGTAAAAATTGAGAATCAAAACTGCATTTTTCCCTTAAAAGAAAAAGGAAGAAAAAAAAAGAGTTGCACTCACAATGAGCAGGCGCAACTAATTAAATAAATTTCCAAGGTAGCTAAGCATTCAAATAACGATGGAGTTAAACAGTTTATCTAATTTCAGATAATTTTCTTCCGTCTATATAATGCTTCAATTTACATCTCGTCCGGAACTCCGGATAGACTCCTGGGAATCCGGAGATTTTGTCCGAGGGTAGTTCAAAACTATAAAAAAAATTGCCTAACAACATGTAGAGTTTGTCGATTCTCATGTTTTTTAATTAGTTGCTGCAACTATATATGCACAATTAAATCGACAACCACCATTTGGCACCATAACCTTGAATCTCTTCATCCTTCTCTTAGTCAGTTTTATATACATCTCTCTCCAGTTCCTATGTCTTTTAAAGTCTGTACATGTTTTCTGGTATTCATAGGTTTCATCATTTTCAACCCGCAAACAACTTTAGGTGCACAAGAGATCCCTTGTTTCTTTAGCTTTGGGGACTCATTAGTTGATAATGGCAATAACAATAACCTTGATACAACTTCCAAGGCCAATTACCGGCCCTACGGAATTGATTTTCCTGATGGGCCAACAGGCAGATTCACAAATGGAAGAACAATCATCGATATTGTTGGTATCCTCTCTTTCGTTATTCTAGATTTTTCTTTGGAATTATAAGTTTCCTTAAATTCATTTCTTCTGCACTTTTGGCTTTTATTCCTTATTTTTTTTTGGTAATTTCTTTTGTTCTGCTTGGAAAGCAAGAAAGACCCTCTCTCAATTAATTCTCAAAATTTATTGTTATTGAGGTCCTTTTTAACAATGATTAACCTGTTCTATTCATTCAGTTTACATGACATGGTAACAAACCCATTTTTGATAATCTATTGCAGCTCAGCTCCTTGGATTCAATGATTTCATTCCACCATTTGCAACTGCAAGCGGTCAAGAAATCATCAAAGGCATAAATTATGGTTCAGGAGGAGCTGGAATTCGCGATGAGACTGGTAAACATCGGGTAATTTCTCCCACAACCTTGTAGTTGTGTGCTCCTTTTGTGCATCAACACTAGCATACTATTGTCATTGGATATTTTGGGGTTGAACTAAGGAAGCATATAAGAAAGGTACATACATGACCCAATTTAAAAGAACAAAAGAATGAAAGATATGCACCACAAATTTCTATTTCTTTCAAGCTACCCCCGACTTTACTACATAAAATCAATTAATCAAGAAAAATATTAAGTGCAGCCATTGGACCCTATTTTTCATGCAGCAAGTCAATCCTGATAAAGAATGAAAGTTCGACCATATTCTTCATCTTCCCCCTAAACTTCTCATCTGAGGACACTTTAGCAAAAAGTCAGAAAATTTTCCGTTAGATGGATTGTTCACACTACTTAATCTGATAGGATACAAGTTAATATTCTTCCCAGATAACCCTATTTGCTAATGGAATCAAATTATAAAAACCACCTAGTAGTTATTGGAGTTCAAACAGTTGAGGGAGATGATAAATGTGAGGGTACTAGAAATCTGCATCCTTGAACTGTAAAAGATTCGCGGTTCGGTTCCTAATTCACAAAGGGTTGTATTCAGGTGCCTTACACTACCATAGTTCATTCCTCTAATCGGTTGAAAACCAATGAGCTTCAACACTTATTTTTTTTTGAAGAAAAATACTTCAGTAGCTGCAGACGAATAATAGTATCTGTATAAACAGTTGCAAATTAAGGGCGCCAAGGAAATTTGATTTCAAAATAAATAGAGACAATTCGTTGATAACCAATATGATAGGAAAATGTGTGATAATTTGATGCTTTAAGGTATTAAATAGTAAAGCTAACGGATAGAGTGAAAGCTGGAAGTAATTGATCATACATCCCTTACCTGGCTGTCATCTTCTTTGAGTGCCACTTTCCAATTCCAAGGAGTACAGCCAATATTGCAAAAGTTTTTTGCCTCACGCAAATTAATGTTTGGAGTGCATTTCCGACAAACTTGCTGCCCTAGGTCACGTAACTGATCACACGCTCAACTATTTTAAAGTGACAACAGAGACGAATGAACAGGTAAAAACCAACCATGCATGATGGGTATTAAGTTTTAATTGAGATGGAAAACTAAGTCAAGTAACTTGGTACTGCCAACCTGTGAGGGAAAAAACAAGAGAATATAGCGTTGTCTAGGTGCAACTAATGTTCAAAAGTATAACTAAAATTTCACAACAAGAGATTGTAGCTACTACACCAATTAATTACGCAGAGAATATAGTGTGGTTTAGGTTTAACTAACTGTGAGAATTGTAATTAAGCTATTATGTGTGAAAATGGTCTATTAGTGTGACCCCATCTTATTTCAAGGATATCAAAAATGGATGTCATACATGTTTGGAGTTAAAAGTCGTCAACAGATAGGACAACCCAAACGGGTACCAGAGAATGAGCATTCCCATCAAGTTTTAGAATATTACTTTTTTAAGCTTTAAAGCGTTTGAAATTTTTTTAAAGTTCTTTCCTATTTGTCTCCCCTCCCCCAACCCCACCGCCACCCCCCTTGAATTATATTTGCTCTCCACATTCATCCCTCTCCTGAAAGAAAGAAAAAAAATTAATGGTTTATGATTATTACACTTCACGAGAGTGCTGGATCTATTTAAAGTTAACTATCAATGCTAATCCAAATTAAATCTTTTTGACGTTTCTAAACTCTTTATGCTAAATTTTAGACTTGAAAGTGCATTTCAAAGAAAAAAAAGGTGTGTTTTATTAAGGACATCCTTTTGGCTTAACTCTACTATTGCAACATATATATGATGTGTTGAAGGTTAACCCCTAAACCAAGGGTGCTGGCTTGATCTGCCACCGACATATCATACAAGAAATTAGGAGAACGAGTGGTCATACAACAGACCAAGTGAACCCTTTGTTCCATTTTCATCTTATCAAATTTTTGTTCATATTTTCCAGTTTTGTAGTCACTATTTGCAAAGGACTATTATTAACTAGCTCACTTTCCCAAATTCATCTCAGGGTGATAACCTCAGCTTCAACAAGCAAATGCTTAACCATCGAACAACAATTTCACGCATTGCTTCCTTGATTGGAAACGAGACCTCAGCAAGAAAGCACCTAAGCAAATGTCTGTACAGTGTTATGATCGGTAGTAATGATTACATCAACAACTATTATTTGCCACAAAATTATAACTCAAGTAGCAAATATACACCGGATCAATATGCTGCAGCCTTGATTCAACAATATTTGGATCAACTAATGGTTCGTATTTCAATCAATATTTTGTTTGCGCTTAGTTGGCATTTTTTATAACACTTAAAATCATCTTTCCCCATACTTCAATGTAGTTTTGATGTTGTCCCTCAAGGATACATTTTATAATTTAACACCCTGGACTATTTGTCTCACTAATAAATCCAATTTCTCGTATGGTCTAGGATAGAGTGGAGACATATATGACACCTCAAACGTTACAAAATATGATACATCGTAGTTTTTTTTTTTTTTTTTTTTGAGTCCTTTTAGAGCCTTAAGACTTCCTAGTTACTTGGCACTTGCAGAAGAAAAAGTCAAGAAACATGTCTTACTCTATGCTCCATGAGATTAAAAAAAACCGTGCATAATTTTTTCTCTAAATCAAATCAAAAGGTGATCATAATTTTCTATTTTTAATGTAATCATGATTTACAAAATCAACATCTATCATATTCAGAGAATTTTTAGCACGTAACTTTAGATTGAAATGAACTAGCTGTCGATTGTGTCCAGATAAATGAATTGTTCCTCTGCGTTTAATTCATTGTCAAACTATTTTGAGATAAATTTGTACATTTTTTTTTAGTTTTCTTTTAATTTATGTGAACTTCACAGGAGCAATCAACAACCATGAAAATTTCAAGTGTAATTGCAACACTTCATTTGCCATAGTATTTTATTAGGTGGTTTTCCTCGTTTAATGCTGTTAAATGTTGAATTGTTGTGATATATTTTTGTAAAAGGAAATAACTGCTAGACAATTTTTTGCAGACTTTGTATAATTATGGAGCAAGAAAATTGGTCCTATTTGGATTGGGTCCTCTTGGTTGCATCCCAACTGAGATAAGTATGTTTCCCACACCAACATGCGTTGACTCAATTAATGACGCAGTTCAACTATTTAATGACAGACTTAAGCAACTTGTTGAAGACCTTAATACGAGGCTCAGCCAGGCAAAGTTAATTTACATCAATGTCTCTAGCATTCAATTTGGTGCTCCGGCAAGTATTGGTATGTATTATCTTAGCATTTACAGAAAACCAAATTTTTTTTTTGTTTTTGTTTTGAGGACTTGTTGTGTTTCAGTGCATTTTGCTTCTTTCCAATGACAAAAACAGCAACAAAACAATTTTCCAACAAAAAATAAAAGGAAGAAGAAGAAGATAAAATTAAGCTTGAGAAACTAAAAATAATGCCAATTCCTAAATGAGATATCATTGGCAATGCCATTTAATCGTAGTGGTAACAAAAATTCTCTTATCCAGCACCTGGTCTAGAGCAAAATTGCAAGAAGGTATTTAATATAGGAGCTTATCCAATCTAATTTTGCAAATATATAGTCCATGTGGCCCATCACCCCCATGCCTCTATTTTTCTACAATTATGGTTTTATTTTGCCAACATGTCATTTTTTTTTTACGCTAATAAGTATGGATACATAATACATTACTTTCATAAAAATTTTTAATTTTTTTGCTAACTCGGCATACATTTAATCTTGCAAGTTTGTGTCTATATATTTATAGAGTGTGTGTGTCAAACATTAATCTAGTAAATAATCCCACCACTACCCCTTGACTTTCAAACTAAGGTAGCATACTGGTACCATAACTTTTTCCTTAAGTCGGATAGGTAGATTTTGAAGTTCAAAAAACAAAAAGAATGTAAATTTTGCATTTTGATTATTATTGTAATTATTTTCTATCAGGATTGCAAATTTTCAATCAACCATGCTGCCAAGTTTCATCCACCACGGGTTTATGCATTCCTGGACAAAAACCATGCATTACTAGAGCTCTTAACTTGTTTTGGGATGATTTTCATCCTTGTGAAACTCTGAACCTGTACACTGCAGCAAGAGCATACAAGAAGTTGCTACCTTGGGATGCCTATCCAACGGACATCAGCCACCTCGTTCTGGAATCATGATAATTAAGAGATTTTTCTCTTTTTTTTTTTATTTGTTGAGACGTCTTCATTATCAAAATTCAGAAATTAAAAGACGTCCTTGCCGCTTAAACAATATTTCAAACAGTCACTAACATAAGGTCTGAAATTGTAGGTTTCATAAATGACATGAAACGAGGTACCTTCAAATTCGTCCGCGGGGTAGTTCGGCCGGTCATGTAGTCTTTTTTTAAGCCATTGATCAGTATTCGGGTCCCGTGGTTACCGTGCTCAAAGTGAGTTGGGGCGCCCTCTCCCGGACTGTAGACAGATTAGTCAGGCCGAAAGCCTGGATATCCCCTGTGTCATCAAAAAAAAAAAAAAAAGGAGGAACCCTCAAATTCAAGAACCCATGGCCCGTATCCAATAAGCTACTCAAGAAGCATATTAAGCTTCTTAATTAGGGTAGAATTCAAAATTTTTATTAGTATTTTTGTTTAATTTATTTAACAACATTAGTATTAGTCATTATTGTACCAATAAATGATGGTGCATGAAGAACATATAAAGACTGAAAAAATTTGCAATTATTGCTAAATGAAGGATCCATGACCGGGTCCACACCTACTTGTCCCGGATCCCTCTGCGGATCGCGGTTAGGGGCTGCTGTCTTGGATCTGCTAGTTGGATCCGACCCTCAGAGCAATGCGTCCGTGCGCAGATCCTTATGGCATCCAAATACGATATTTGTTCATTTTAGAGTATTTTCACCTGTTTTTGTATCCTTATTAGAGTAAAACTTTCTAAACTATAAATAGTCATATCCCTAGAACTATTGTTATCACCCTATTATCAACTATTATATCAAACCGTCTTACCAATTGTTCTGAGTTCTCTCATGTATTGATGAATCTTTAATTCATGTTTGAGATCCATTCATGTAAAGCTTCTCTTTTAGAGGGTGTTCGTGTAACTTTTTCGTCTTCTCTCGCTTCGACACTACATCAATAAAGGACTAGGACAAAGTGACTTAGCAAATTGCCATGCCCGATAATTAGTTTCAACTTGACTAAAATGTCTCAATTTATAATTTAGAGACGAAAGTTGAAATGAGAGTATAGTTTAGAGATAGAGATCAAAATGTCTCATTATAAATTTTAGGGACCAAAATAAGAATCAGGATATATTTGAAAGGTGTAAAATAGAATTCACCTTTTCATTAGATAAATGTGCATGCAAGATGAAAGCACAATTTTGATCACGTGTCTAAAAATTTTGAGCATTACTTTAGATACATACGTACATATATATATATATACGAGGGGCATTTAACCCCTAAAAGGCTAAAGTATTGTCCTGAGTCCACTGCACCTCTTACTGTGAAAACCATACCAAGAGCCCGATAAAATGAGAATTTATCAGACTAGGAAAAATAATTTACCCTAACATGCTGACAAGATTTCCCAAATAGAGCAAAATGCAAACAATATGATTCTGTTAAACAAAAATCGTTCAAGTTGCTAAATAATTTTCAAAAGAACGAAACTTATTACGGGTGAATCAATTCAAACTATTGCCTTGTCTTTACATGGAAATCAACGTGGATAACTATTTACTGCACCTTGTCTTGTACAATATCTGCAGTTTCTTCTTCCTGGATAGCTATTAAAGCTCATTTTTATTCCCACTTCACTAATTTCCAAAGAAATGCTTTAACTTTCTTCCTACAATCTGGTTTGCTATTTTATTCCTATTTTGGTTTATATTACTTCGTTTCTTCAACAAGTAGTTTACTGCAAACAACATGTGCCATGTTTCTTCATATTTGGCGAGTCGATGCTTCACAATGGAAATAACAATTTCCTCAATACTTCTTTTAAAGCTAAATATCCACCTTACGGGGTTGATTATCCAGATGGTCGGGTTGGAAGATTTTCAAATGGTCGCAATATTATTCTAAAATTAAAACCTGAGTTGGATTGATTTGCCTGTGTATCTCTTATGTACCAATAGCTAATTTGTTTAGAGATTTACTATTTCACTCCTAAAGTTGAAAATTTCTGATGTTTGCTGAAAGTTTACTTAATGTGCAGCTGAGCTTGTAGGTTTGGAGCGTGGCATTCCACCATTTGCAAATACGAAAAGGCTAAGCATAATGAAAGGTGTCAATTATTATTCTTCCAGCGGATCTGGAATTCTTGATGCTACTGGCCACGAACTTGTCCGAGTTCTCGTGATCCCTTCTTACCTTTCTTCTCTTTTCCTTTTCTCTTGAAAATTTTAGTTTTCCTCTTATTCCTTCCCCATGTGTTCGCTTAATATCTTCTTCTGTGACTTACCAATTATTTAGATTTGTGAACATCATTGATTTACATGTCTTGAAATTGTTTAAAATCCCTTGAAAATGAAAAAAATATTGTTCATACAACATATATATATATATATATATATGTTTATACAACTTGAGGATTGTGAAAGTGTCATTTTTGTGATATTAAAAATGCACACTAAAGGGTACACAATATTTCACTTACTTTAACTACTTTACTTCGTTTGATTAATTAGATTTCATTTTCAATGTGAGGGCTACTCATAAAGGAGGAGGTTGTTAGGTTCATGAGTAGGAAATTGCATCCTATTTTGATTCAGAAGATAAAAAAAAAAACACTTAGTATGTAAGTAAAGACCTGAAAACTAACAATTTAAACTTTTGGGTAATCATAGAGTTCTTGACTTGCACAATCAGAAGGGGAATGATCGTTTAGAATTAAAATACATATCAATTAAAATAATCTGTCTCTCTTATTATGCTTATACATACAGCTCTGATTGCATAATTTTATAGGCTACATCTGCTTGATATGTTTTCTTGCACTACTTTTGTAACATTTGTTTTAGAACTCATGGTAAAGTTACAAGTCATGAGGACTAAATCATTTTGTTTTCTTTTGCAATATTTTTGTAACATATGTTTTAGAACTCATGGTAAAGTTACTTTTGTAACATATATATGGACAACATTAATCTGTTTAGGAACATTGTGCCATGATATATAGTTTCCTTCCAACTTTTCTTTTGTAGGCAGAAGTATGGAATTTTGTTTTCCATTGGTCAATTGAAAGTCATGATTTTTGCTTATGAACCCTCTCGTTTCTCATATTTCCTTCCTTCTTTCTTTCTGGGATGAACTTTATAGGCTTCAACGTTTCACAAGTTCCTTGCTATCAGTCATGTTTCGGAAGGTATGGGACTCCGCCGCCCAAATGGATACATTTGTACAAACAGAGAAATGTACAAATATTTTGATGCACTGCATCCCAGTGATGCTTCCGCATTGATCATTGCAAGTAGAGCATATTCTGCTGATTTACCCTCAGATGGTTACCCAGTTGATATCAGAACATTGCCAAAAGATGTATATTCAGAGATGATCGCAACTTGTGTTCTTTAATGAATATATGTAGTTAAGGATGTAAGTCAGGTTGGAGAAATCGAGGTGCTGCAACCACAATTTGAGCTGGCTTTCTTGCAAAATATTGGAAGGATGTCACTTCAAGATAAAGGGTTCTTTCCGTTTTATTGGAAGTGAGGGAAGATCATTAGGATTTCTTTGGAATTAGAACGTGTTGGAATTATAAATATGTATCTCAAGTTTGAGAATTGCTAAATTTATTTCTGTACAATAGGAATTAGGACAAAATATTAATCAAGCCTAAAGGGCACCAAGTAGTTAGTCCCCCCAACATAAGATTATAGTATCTGCCAGTGTTTTTGGGAAGCCCTTCATTCAGTGCACAAGAGCTTCTATTTGGCTCTGAAATGAGCCTCAAATATCAAATTTAAAATTCGAGCAAGATAGAAAATTAGGAAAATGGCATATGCAGAAAATTAAACAATCACGAGGCTAAGTAATTGTAGCAATCCAATTATTCAGGCGTTAAAACATTTTTTTGTTATTGAGTTTGGTCCCTTAAAGTGGGGAAAGTTACAGTGGGAAAGTGCTTGATGGCTAAACTTCCTATATACCTTTCTTGTCTTTGTGAATATGAAACAAGCAATCTTTTCTTGGCAAATGAGACGGAACTTTTACTTATAACATGCCATCAAATTTTAATTTTCTGCAGCTTATGATACATAGACATAGTATTTCACGCTTTCGATTCCTTCCATAGAAGTTCAAAAGAGTATAACAACGTGGAGGAATAGTTATAAGCATTTATAAGTATAATCATTTGGGAAGTAAAGAAGAAAGATGTTATCAATAGAAATTGGAAGAAAATGGACTATATATTCTGTCCAACAGCATACTTATTTTAAGAATGAAGCTTCGCCTCCACCAACACCGATCAATCCCCAGATTTCTTGAAGAATTTAGTCCTTGCTGGCAAGCTTAGCGACAGAACTTCCAAACAAGAAATGAGAGATGGAGAAATCTCAACCTCATTAAGCAATATCAGCTGCAAAATATGAGAGGAAATGCAATCAGTTCCAATATGCCAGAAAAAAAAAACTTTATTATTTTGTGGGGAAAATAACCAGAAAAACTAGAGATGCATAATGAGAGGTCTAAGCATATATGTTAATTGGTGTGTTGTAAACAGTGAAGTGAGGAAATCATACACTAGTTGAAGAGGCCTCTGTTCCTGGCGAGGGTAATGATTATTTAATTGCAGCCCATTAACTTGGAGGAAAGTCCTAGCATCAAATGGCTGAGCTGACACTAGTTCATAGTCAGAGCTCCCAGGCACCAAGTTCATGTCATGCTGGGCTCTTTCAGTTTCAGCTATCTACAAGAAAATTTGAACAACACAATGAAATATTCTGGTTAGGCTTTAGAAGAGAAAACTGCATAAATTCGTGTGTGTGTATGTGTACAAATGCTCGCGCACACACAATCACACATATATACGTTAAATAACACACACACACACACACACACAGAGTCACTTGGAGGAACTGACCTTTGATCGAAGGTATTGATTGTTGTTATGTAAATCAACCTCCTGCATTCAAGATTGATGTATGGCAAATTGAGTAAGTGT